ACTTTTTTTTTTGGTTTTTCGAGACAGGGTTTCTCTGAGTAGCTTTGCGCCTTTCCTGGGACTCACTTGGTAGCCCAGGCTGGCCTCCAACTCACAGAGACCCACCTGGCTCTGCCTTCCGAGTGCTGGGATTAAAGGCATGCACCACCACCGCCCGGCGAGTCACATACATTTTATGGTAATATGCTGGCATGTTTGCTTTGCATTATTGATATCTGCAATAAAGATATTTTGTCTGTTGCAGGACAGCCAGGGCTGCACAAAGAAACCCTGTCCCCAAAACCAAAATAAATAAATAAATAAAATAATTTTTTTGTCTTTTATCTGATGAGGGGAACCTTATTTTCTTAGTATGCTACCAACTTTAGTTTAAAAAGTCTAGATCAAAAGTAAATAACAGTAAAAATTATTCATTTTTAAAGAAATTACAGGCTTTAACAATTCATAAGAAGCATTTTATTTTTTAAATACTATGTCCATCATTGAGAGATACCAGGGCAGAAAGTGAGCTGGCCCAGAGGCAGGAACCATGAAGGGAAGCTTGTTGGCTTGTTTTTTGTGGCTTGCTTAGCCTGCCTAGGCATGGCATTACCACACTGGACTGGGTCCTCCCACATAAGTCGCTAATCAAGAAGATGCTCCCACAGTCCTGGTTCCAGGCCAGTAGGATGGATTTTTCTCAGTTGAGGTTCCTTGAGTTTCTGTCATGTTGACAAAACTCTGCCAGCACTGAGTCCTGTTGGCTCTCACTCCCTAGTGACTTCACAGGTATTTGTCATCCTGGCTCTGTCTCTTCTACTTAACTGAAGAATTCCTTTCCTTTATTTAGTAAATAGTTTATAAGGATTTCCATATCACGTGAATTCTAGACTGATATGGGCTTCCAAGACCAATATCACTCTGAACGTTTATGATCTTAATCCTTTGTCCTTTCTCTTTGTTACTCGATATATTCCATTTCTTTGACATTTTCATTTCTAAGACTAAACTATTCCAGTATTATCTTTATCATTGTGTCACTTTGTTCATTGCTTGTTTTTCTTTGTTTTAAATGAAACATTATTGCCCATGTAGTCTTTTTCTGAATTTATGTCTTGTGAAAGGTACTTTTTTATGTCTCTGTGATCTTGTATTACCCTTTTTATACTATATTTGAGTTGTCTTTCTCTTAACTATCCTTCACTGAATTAAGAATTTTATCTTACCTTATTTGTTATTCAATCACCAGTTGCTAACTTGTATCAACTCTCGCTATTGACTTTGAGTGTTTCTGATGGTACCATAGAACAGCTGTTTCACAGGTCACTGGATATATTGTTAATATAGCGTTAGTTAATAGTAGAAAGATTGGAATTTTTGTTTGTTTTGGTATTTGTGTGTATTTATACTTCTTTCTAGAAAATGTTTCCATAATTTTGGCTATAGTTTTTAATAAGAATGCTGTTTTCTTTCTTCCTGTTCCCCATGTAGTTAAAGCCTTCCATCTCAAGTATGATGAAGTTCGTCTAGATCCAAATGTTCAAAAATGGGATGTAACAGTGTTAGAACTCAGCTACCATAAGCGTCATTTGGATAGACCAGTTTTCTTACGCTTCTGGGAAACATTGGATAGGTAATTGTGATCCTAAAATATACTCATATATACTTTATTTTAGCAATTTTTTAAAATCAGAATTTAAAATCTTTAAAGTTATAAACTATATTTTGTAATTCCTTGCTTTGAATATTGTCTGATTTGATGCCAACATAATTGATGATTGAGAAATACTTTGATTTATTGACTTAATATGTAAATGTAGAGTTTAGAGTCTATTAGAAGGCACATTAGACTCTGTTGTGAGAAGACAAAGACAAAGATTTTGTGATCTTGCTCTCATGAACTAGGAAACCTTCTGCACTTCATTTTCAATCTGCTTAGGAACCTGCTGTCAGGTGACCCCGGGCTTTACCCTGAACGCTTGTGAAAGGAATTTAATTCTTCATTTATTGTAATTACTAGGATAGAGTTGTTAAGTCTTTTAAAATAGCAGCTGTTCTGTAATTTACAAATAAAAGAACAGCGGATTATCATAACTAATACTATGGACTCAGTTGCTATTTGTTGTGTTCCCTGAAAACTATATCTTGTTTGGTATCTCTCACTGGATTATGTCAGTTTTCTGAAAGTCATTAGGTAACTCTATGGCTGTAACTGATAGTGTGTAAAGACAAATGTACTTCCAGTAAGCTCTTAGGTTATAGAATTTAATGAAAAAAAAATTTTTTTTCAGAAGCTGCAAAATCCAGTTTCTAGTTGCTTAGTAAAAACAGTATTTTGTCCCTTAGTGATTTTGTAATAAAGAAGTCAACCCTTTTTACATGTTAAAATTTTGAAATTTGTATTGTCATCATAACCCATTACTCTCTTTTTTTCCCAGGTACATGGTAAAGCATAAATCCCACTTGAGATTCTGAATCACTTGATTCCTCCATTTCTGAAAACTTGGTTTAAGAAGCATGGATATAGCTTCATCTACAGACTGAAACCCAAGCTTTATGAATTCATCAAGAACTTGCAAATGAAGAAGGCCACAGAGCAGTCTTTTATAAGACCTTGTTTGATTCTGTGTGCTTCAAAGGGGCATTGCCTCCCATCCATACAAGCAAACTTTTTTGGCTTACAACTATTTTTTTAATATTAGCCTTCTAGTCTGTAATGGAAATTGTATATTTTGATAGAAGCTTTTTCTCTATTGGTTAAATTAGCATTACTTAAAAAAATTTGTTTCTTTAGAAATAAATACAGGTTATAAATGTGTGTATATTTAGAAGTTATTAGGCTCTCTAAGCCATCTTGCTTCTGATTTTTCATTGCTCTATGATTCCTTTTACTGGAAAATACTGTCATGAATGGTTTTAAATTTTAGACTCTAGAACTTCAAAACCCTATCAAAGGGAAGTAACTATTAAATCAGTTGAAAGTTGGCCTGTGTGTATACTATGTCTATACTAACTCATGTTTAAAAAGGAATAATGAAAAATCAAGAACAAGTCTTCAGTTTCGGTTGAATTCAGCCTTTTCAAGATTTCTTTTGTAAATGAATACATTTAATGAATGTACACTATCTTTGTTGACTTTGATGATTTTAAACTTAAAGTGATATATTTCTATCTGGGATATGTTTCCACTTGAAAAGAAATCTCAAGAAACAAAGATTAAAGTATAATAGGCTGTAGTGACTCTTACCTAGAAAGCTAAAGTATGATTTGGGAGACTTGAGTACGTATCAGCCTAGTTACAGTGTAACTTGAACTTCTAAGTTTGATTTTGATTCTTATATGCTATAGGATTTTGAGTCTTCTATTTGTACACATGTCAACTTGGGACTTCTTATCTTCCATTATCTCTAAATATTGATAAATTCCCAGGCACCAAAGAACACATTTGGTTACGTGTCTGAACAGAAACAAGATAAAAACACTGGTATTTTTATGTGTGTGTTCAATGTGGTATAAAATATAAAACCTATATTTTAACTTAGTAAAATATTTTACTATTTCTCTACTTTAGACAGAGTGTTGCATCCAAGCTGCAATGAATGACCATGCTCTTTGAGTCCTGGTTTTACCTTTTACTATTTAAAAGGAATATTTATTCCTTGAAACCGTTTTCTGCCATTAGAGCTCTTGTTGACCATCCCACCTTGTATCTTGTTTTCTTCAGTGGCTATCTCTTAGGTTATCAAATTGGGGAACTTGGGGGGTGCAGTAAAACATTTAGCTCTTCTGTTCTGGTGAGGATACTTAGCCTCTTTAGAATTTAATGCTATCATAAAGATGAGAAAAAAGTATTAATTTATTTTATTAACTTACTACAAAAATCAATTATCAGTAAAAATGGAAAAGATATTTATTCAGATGGAATTCAGTGGGCTCTCCAGAAGAGAAGCAGCTATTGTTTCAAATGACTTTAGTACATTTTGAATTTTAGTAGGTTTTGCCCACAATTTCCTATTCTCCTGCATCCTCTTCTTTATGGCAAAAGAAAACTCAGTTTGTTCAGAGAATTTCTCAGCATACAAATCTATTCTTAAATTATGTATTGAATAAACTTTCTCCACAATGAAATAGTCAGTGAGTCAAACCTGTAATACTTTAATGTAAAATTACTTGTTAGGACTACTGCAAAGTGGACATGAACTACTACTACCTTTCCATAAAGATGTTTGATATTTATTCTTACTATCTGAAATTTACTTGATAACAGAGTATGGTTAAAATTAATATCTACTTTGAACATGGTTTATTTTTCTATTTTAAATTTGCTTTGTGTTTAGTCAAAGGTTTCTGGGTATACCTGTAACTTAGTAAATCTAGAACTGTGCTTTACGCGTATCTTGAAATCAGATTATTTGTGTGCACTGGGGTTTCTTGTTTTATTTTTAAGATTTTAAAAAAGAAAATTGAGGTGGAATCATAATGAGTTTCCTGATAGCAGTTTGGTGGACACATGTCATTTACTTGTTCTTTTCCCATCCTTGCTGACCTCCCCGTTCCTCTTGCCTCCATTTCCCTTTTTGCTTTCCTATCACATATATTCTATTTCTTTTTCTTTTTCTTCCTCACCCTCTCCTAAGAACTCTTCTGCCTTCTGTATCATAGTTTCCTTTCTTTAATTACCTACACATAAACATGCACAAACATTTTAGATTTTTTTTAACCTCAACATTTTGGTCCCATAAGTAAGTTTATGAAATTTTATAGTGATTAATTATAAAAATAAAGGGAAAAAGCAAATTATAAAAATCCACTATGCTCAGCCAATCATTCATTATTCTCCTGTGACTCAGTTCTGCAGCAGCACCTAACAGTGCCTTGCACATGTAGGCATTCAGTAGTTATTTATATGTGTAAATGGATGATGTATTTTCAGCATAAGTGATTCAGTCTTTAAAATAGTTTTGACCATATTTGGTCTTAGAATTTGAGAATAAAGAAGTATAAGCAATGAGAAGAAATAAGTAGATAGTTTAATGAAAATGAGTACACATTAATAAGATCAGTTTCCCTATAAGTTGCTAACTGGAGGTATTCTTGCCAGCTTTACTTGTAAAGGAAGGTTCTCTGTTATCTGGAGTCTTCTAAGTAACAGTAAGAAAAAATATGTAGTTTTTAATCAGAAGCTCACCATTTGAAGAGATTTGAAAAATATATCTGAATCCTTACTCTTATTTTCTTGGATAAACCCAATTGTTACTAAATTTCAAAAGTTTTCCAGATAATTTGTGTGTGTGTGTGTGTGTGAGAGAGAGAGAGAGAGAGAGAGAGAGAGAGAAGAGAGAGACACGAGGGGGGGTAGTGAGACTCACCCATTTAAAGTGTTATTGGAAGTGATACCAGTATTGAATGTTGTGTTTCCTCCCTCCTTTTTTTCTCTTCATCTGTGTATGTTTTGTGTGTGTGTGTGTGTCTGTCTGTTTGTATGTATGCATGTTTTGAGGCCACTCTTTGCACTAGACCATCTCTCATTGGTGATATTGGCCTATATCCCCAAATGACAAATTCAAATCTTATTTATTTAATATACAAGGAGTATTTTGCTGTTTAATATTTAAACAACGTTTAATATATTTCATTATTAATTAGTATCATAGCTTATGGTTTGTTTACTGTTTGCTTATTATTTTACTAAGTTCTTTAGCAGCAGAAGAACAGCAGTTTATACAGGAAGAACTAATTCACAATGAGGAAATTCTCAAGTCTTTAAGTTCAAAGAACTACTAATTTCTTTGCTATGCAGAGTAAGATACAATTCAACTATGAAAAGAAAAGCATAGTTTGAGTTAGTCTACACAAAAAAGTAAAAGTTCTCACCAAAATGAAAATTTATCTAATAAATACTGAAGGAACATTTCCTAAATAAAAATTTCTGTGATTTCTTAACACAAAGTGATGACAGTGTTTTTGTTTTGTTTTGTTTTGTTTTGTTTTGTTTTGTTTTGTTTTGTTTTGTTTTGTTTTTTGGAAAGTGGGAAGAGATTATTTATTGCACTGATGAGCTATGCAAAATTATTTAGCATTTTATAATAACTTACAGTATTATTAATACTGTAATTACTGAAGCTGGTCAGATTCATTTAGAAAGTGGCTTTAAATTTTGTGGATTTTTATTTGTTGTTGTTGTTTGTTTGTTGGCTTGGCGATAAACCCAGAGCTATGTGCATTTTAAGCAAGCACTTCTACCACTGAGTTACACTCCAAACCATAATTTGTGAAATTGGTTAGATGCAAAAGTATAACTAAACCAGAAAAGTTTTATTTTTAGTCCCCCACTCCAGGGAAATTTATTAAAGCATGTGTATGAATGTCCATACATGCATACACAGACAAGTCAATAGATTTGTTATTCTGTATAATTTAAATTTATGTAGAATGTTGAGAAAATTATAAAAGTATAGAAATTTCAACTGAAAAGCTGGTGTCTGCTGTTTTTACAATAAATGAAATTTTAATTTAATTGCATTTACTTTGAAATTACTGGACTGAATTTTCATTATCCATTGGGCTTAATTTTCATATGGTGATTTTCATTAATTTATAGTAAAATGGAGAATTGGTCAACCTTGACTTGGAGAATTTAAATAGATTGGTTTTTTTTTTTTTTTTTTTTTTTGACATCCCTGGCCATGTTTAGAAGTATGTATTGTCCCTAACATAGTTTCTGCACTAACATGTTGGCAGAACAGCTGAGAAGAAATTGAAAATGTACACTAAATGTATAAAGAAATCTTTTTAGTAAGTATGCATAAATTAATAATGCTTTCAGGTCACTGATGTGTTTGGGATTGTGTATTATTTTAGGAACTGTTCATAAGAGTATCTTGGAAGTTATAAATTGCCATATACTGAAATGCAGTAAGCATTTTTATATGAATAAAGTTTGTGAACTACAACCAGATTTGTGCCAAAATTTAAAAGATGAGATTATAGTATGTCAAAATTAAGCAAATGGTCGTTCCAAGTATTTTGTGTGCTGTTGCATTTTGTTTCTATGCAAACAAACATTAGTAAAGCTACTTAACCTCCTACTTTGGTTATAGTTCTTAATAGGTGACTTAGTCCCTACCATTGTAGTGACCACTCACTGGTTGCTTAATCATCAACTAGTGTTGTTTGTGAAGCAAAGTATTTTCTGAATAGAGCTTCATTAGAATCCTGTTAGGAATGTTCTCATTCTTATTCCATTTTTATAACTTTAAATTGTGGGCTTTATTTTACATAAAACATTTTGCTGTTAAAAATCTTGAGTACATATCTACCTTCCCTTAATTCCCAAAAAAGGCCACAAACAAACAAACAAAACAACAAAGGAAGTGTGTATGTGTATGTGTACACACACACACACACACACACACACACACACACACACACACACACTCCATGCCTACCAAGAAAGGCAGAAAGTATTGTTGAGTTTGGCATGTTGTCGTTATGTAAAATGATTCATGATATTTGTCAGGCATAGTATTTCTCTTCAGGAAATAAATATGTTTATTCTTTGGAATTAATGAGTTAAATCCAGTTAGTCTTTTTTTTTTCTCAGTTAATAAGTTAAATCATTTTTAGAATTAGACTTCTTTGTAAAGTCAGCAGGCTTCATGACCTACTGAACTTACAGTTGAAGTATGTCAAGTTTCTTGTTATTGTAATAGTAAAGTATATCCCAATGTTTTACATATAAATATCCTGATTTTAACATTTTATAAATTTGAAAACCACATTCCCATATAGTCAGATGTACTCCAATCATTAACAACATTATCATATTGGCAATGCCAGTAATAATATGGGAATTTGATGTGACGGTTTTTTATTGAAGGAAATGGGCCATATCCAAATTTAATTTTCATTCTCTTCACAAGCGCTCAATAAATATGAACTTTATTCTTCTATTCCCTTCAATCATCTGCTCTTAGATCCATGTCTGTGAACTAAAACAGAAAGTGGATGTTCTGTTAGGTTTTTTTTTTTTTTTTTTTTAAGACTCAGAGATGTGCATGTTAATAGCACGTTGCCAGGTAAACTTTTCTTTCTCATTTTCTAAAATAAGTTCCTTTTTTGTTTAATTGCATAGTGATTGGCATTTAGTGTGAATTGGAAGACTTTATAGCAGTTTTTAAAAATAACCATAGAAAACCTAATCAGGTAGCTCTATAGTCCGTCTAGTAGTCACCTGTATTTTTAGTTTATGTTTCATCCTTATCCAAAGAAGACTGAACTAATGTATATAGAGCTGAGGTCACACTGAAGCTGAAGACATCTGAGAGATTCCTTTACTACATTTTGGTAATTTTATTGGACTCTGCTTCCTTTGTCAACAAATTTCTTGGAGAGAACACACCAGGTCATTCACTGTGGTAAAACAAGGTCATGTATTCTTAGAGAACTGCCTTTCGAGAGTTAACAGTGTTAAGACTAAATGTGATGGCAGCATCTGTTTTTCCTTTTTAAGTTGGCTGATAATATAAACGTTCTTTGAAATGAAGCGGTTTGAAAGTTTTTATCAGTACTCTGCAATCACTGAAAGATATAAAAGTGAGCCTCATCATGGCTCATTAAGTTGTTTTAGCACAATTTAGTGTCATTAGTATTTATGGTGCTTTTCACTGTAAAACAGTTTAGAAATGTTTTGTTTTCTTAGGTAATGTATTTTTATTTTGTAATGAATAACGCATTACAGAAACAAATGTAGAGCCATGGATAAAATAATTGAGCTTTAAAGTAGTTTAAGGATAAAGCAAGTTGACATTGGACTTTGAAGAAAAAGAAATTATTTGAGAATCTTAAAAAAGAAATAAGCAGAATGGAATTTGGGAGTTAGGCAGATCTCTGATGTGATTTTTCTCCAGAAACATTTAACTGCCAACTGCAAGTGAAGTGTAGAGAACCAGAGCCACTTTATCTATTTATTTGTTTGTTATTTTATTATTTATTTATTTATTTATTTATTCATTCATTTATTTATTTATAATATTTTTGGTGGAAGTAGAAGTAGGCCAGGGAGTTGGAGACATTTGCTAGGTGATGGTATGTGTTGACAGCAGGTGGAATCCAAGTTATACAAAGAATAAGTCATGGAGAAGAGCTGGTAGAGTTGAGAAGGTTCTTGTACACTAAAAGCTTCACTCAATTTGAGCTTGAGAGATGAGAAGGGGAGATTGAGTGGGATGTGTAAATTCAAGAGGTCATTTTTTTAAAGCATCTCTTACAAAGATTAACTTGACAAGTTGTGAGCCGACTTCTGGGTGCTAGAAAAAAGACATCCCTGAATATACTGATGGTAGGAAAGGACTTTATATTATGGAGAATTTTTCTTTGACTTAT